TCAAACTTCACTCTTGAAGTCTTGAAAATTAGGTTGATTATTTAAATAAACGTCCCAATGTCCGAAATAGTGATTGATGATATGAATTATCATCCCAAAAATGTACGTTAAGATTTATATTATATATTCAAGGAAATCAACATTAAGAGGTCTTTCTTCATAGAAATTTTAATTAGATGTCTTGACAGGTTAATTGAAATAGGCGAACTTCAGAGGTACGGCTCTGAAGTCAGTTTCATTAACCTTTACCATCGGCTTTGGTTAAAACCGATAAATTTTATAACAAGTATAACAATTTATTTATTATCTATTTATTTATTAATTCTTCACTAATGGATCATCTCTCTTTCCACATAATCCCTAATTTTTAGACGACTTGTACTATTTCCACAGGATTTTATTTTATATATTCTTTATTGCACTTGTAAATTACTTTATTATTGCATTTATAAATATTGTGAGCAAGGGTGGACTTATCTCAGACAGTCTTTTTTTTGTACAACTTAGAATGGCAAACAAGCTGACGGCCCACCTGATGGAAAGTGGTAACCGTCGCCTATAGACATGAGCAGTGCCATGGATATAACAGAGTGTACTGTTTCGCCCATGATACCCCCGTGCGTTACCATTCCTGAGGACTCGGGTGTTATTCCTCTGTACCCTGTAAATTCACGCCATATTCCACCCTTCAAACCGAAACACAGCCATGCAAACACAACTACTTTACGGTAGAAACACAAATGGGACAGAGGTACCCAAGCAAACGACTTTTGTACAAAGTCTCCTCTTTTTCAGTCAACCCAATACAGTTAGAAAGCATGTCGTTAGCGGGCAGCTAACGTGTAACAACTATTAATACTCCGAATTCGAACAACTATTAACATTTATCAATACATAAACAAATATACAATTTAATGAAATATTAATATATATTAGATACATAAATACATATACTATAAATAAATGAATATACTACCCAAATTAGAAATTTAATGATTTTAAGACTTGACAGTTTAATTAGAAAAATGAAAAATTAAGATTATGATACAAGGTAAAGAAAATGTAATTTCAATTTTATTACTACACTATTATAACTTGTTTTTCAATAAAATTAATTAGTTAATTTTCGCTTTGTTTACATACATATAATTTAAATACACAATCGGGACTTAACGCGATGAAAAAGTCTTTACAGGTATATAGTACTTACATACCTCTAGCTTCTTTATTGCTGACGTTTCTGCAAAAGGTTTTTCAACAAATTAAGTCCCAATTGTATATTTACAATACCATATGTGTAAACAACGCAAAAGTTTAAATTTAACTAATTAATTGTTATTCTTGAGTAATAATTACTATTATAACACAGTGCACAGTGGTCGCGCTGTGCTGCTCGCGACACAGCCGTGAACTGCGCTCACGAATAAGGGCCCCTATTGAGTTCGAAACTAGTCGGACATCAAGAATTTAAAGCGTGAGTAAAACCATCATACATAATTATAATAATTATTTATGCATTTGTAATGTACTATGTATTTATGGAGAGAATGCTATATTACTAGATATATATATGCTATATACATTTTTTGTATAGTGGTCAATAAAGAATAAATAATTAAATGCGTAAGTATGTAACAATGACAGAACTTGTAACTTAATAAATCCTCTTAACATTATAAATGTGAAAATTTATAAATATTGCTGGACGTTTGTAAGTTGCGCTTTTTGTGTTTAATTGAAAGAAAGAAAGAAAGATCATTTAATCAAAGAAGCATGCGGCCCACACGGTAGCGCACAAAGACAAGAACAAAAGAAACCGAAACAAAACAAACAAAAGAAAATTTTATACAAATAGAAACCAATTAAATTAAATTCAGTTCAATTAAAGTCTAAATTAAAAAAGAGAAATAATAATAATAAGCAATAAACAAACAAACAAACAAACAGTAGAATAACTCTTGAATCCAACATCGATCTCAATCCAAATCTATTGCCAATGACAATTTAATACTGCACTCATGTGACAACAGTTAGGAATTAGCTTATAATTAGGATCGGTTTATTTATTTAGTTATTCATTAGACAACAAAGGAAGTTATTTTAATTATCCACTGAGATACAGGCTCGACCTAGTTTGGTGACTAGTACATCTAACTAAATGTAATTTCTTATTCAACAAAGACAGTTATTATTTAAAAAAAAACCGCTTTTCTTCCACGTACAACCACCCTTTGGAATTAACTTCCAGCGGCATTATTTCCGAATCGATATAACATCATAACCTTCAAGAAAAGAGCATATTCCTTTTAAAAGGCCGGCAGCATACTTGTAATGCCGTTGGTGTTGTGGGTGATCATGGGCGGCGGTAGTCACTTACCATCGAGCGAGTCACATGCTCGTTTGCCCACTGTGTTGTAAAAAAAAAATTTAAAAAACATTAAATATAATACAATATTAAAGCAAATAACAAAGGTGAGTACCTTCAATAGTCATAGTTACAGCATTTACTTTAACATAATATGTTTATAAGTGAAAGAGGTTTGTTTGAATCGAAACATTTGGCGTTCCATTGTTTCTGCCTATCCTAATGGGAGACAGGCATGACAGATATGTATGAATGTATGTATTTATAACATTAGTAAAAATTAGGTATTGTAAGATTTAAATTTTAACTTTAAATTTTCTCTATAGGTTCAAAAAGAGTAAATAAAATAAAAATAAAAAATACTGTTATTCATACATGAATGGTCTCCAAGGAAATGTTTGGAAATCATGTTACAGAGTTACGCAATTTGCTGGCGGAAAACCCATAAAACCAATTTAACTTTAAAATAAATGTAATAAAATAATATAATTACGATTATAAATTATGTATTTCTAATTCTCATGGATTTTAGATATCGAATCATGTTCATACTAAGTATATCATCATCGTCATAACAGCCTTTAACCGTCCACTGCTAAATACAAGCTTCTAGTTGCCACGCTTGGCAGACGGATTGGCAATCGCTACTAAGTAGATAGATAGATACTCTTTATTATTTCCTCCATAACATTACAATAGTAAACTTATTATAAATACAAACAATTACAAGAAAATGTTACACTAAGAAAACTATGGACGGCCTTTTCGTTAAGAGCGATCTCTTGCAGGCAATCTTTAGATGGAGGAGAGTAATTCATTAATTAAGTATATACACGTAATAAATTTGTGTGTCGTTCGTGATGTCTCGGCATAAAATAGGCCACTCCTTCCTTTGCCGTAGGTATCGTAAGCGCCGACTAAGGGAGGGCGACACAAGCGACAGAACAGAAGCGTCCCTCTTAAAACATCTCTAAAGCCTAACTGCGGCTGCTAATCCGCCTTCCAAGCGTGACAACTACTGGCAATTCCTCTCCGCTAAGGAGGAGACTTATGTTCAGCAGTGAACACTTAAAGGCTGATATGATGATGATGGTGAGATGATGAAAATTTAATGAATAAGAATATTTTTTATTCAAGTAAACTTAATTACGATTTTTAGATATTTTTTTATTTGTTTCTATTTAAAAAAAAATAGTCTAAGCTATAGTTATCCGTGTCAACAAAAGATTATCAAAATCATATCCTTACAAATAAATCTCCACATCCCTCTGGAGACTTTGTACAAAAGTCGATTGCTTGGGTACTTCTATCCCATTCGTGTTTCAACCGTGAAGCAGTTGTGTTTGCATGGCTATGTTTCGGTTTGAAGGGTGGGATATGGCGTGAATTTACTGAGTACAGAGGAATAACACCTGAGTTCTCGGGAATGGCAACGCATGGGAGGTATCATGGGTAAAACAGTATACTCTGTTATGTCCATGGTACTGCTCATGTGTATAGGCGACGGTTATCACTTTCCATCAGGTGGACGGTCAGCTTGTTTGCCATTCTAAGTTGTATAAAAAAAGCATATTGTAATATAAATATAATGATAAATTCATCGAATTAAAACATTTAAAGGGACATCTTCGTATGTAAGTGTATACAATACAGCTACAGATGGGCAAAGCACCGGGTTTAAACCCGGTGCTTTGGTAAAAACCCAATAAACACCCATAAACTCCCATAATCACCCAAAAAAATAGGTTCTTACGTATTTTTTTGAAAATATGTAAGTAATACCAATAAATTATTTTTATAAATTGTATTGATCAATTCTACAATATTAAATAAAACGTTAACTAATAATATTTCAGGAAATTTTAAAAATCTATATATAATAAAATGAAAGTAATTAATTTTCAGTGTTTTCATGTTGCAGTTGATCAACATGTTGGCCTTTTGCTTCCCGTAGATACTTTAAAATTTCTTCATAACACCTCGTTCGCACACATGGCCGTATATATTTAAATTCTTGAGCCACTAACAGTCCGAAATACTCATTTCTTTTATCCTCTTCTCCATAAATTAAGCATTTAGAACAGTTTGTTTCTTCTTTCAGTAAATTTTCTTTTACTTTATCCTCGTTTTTTTCTTTGTTGCGACGACGCTGGGTAAATCATCTGGACACTGGGTCTCACTATCGCCAAATATATTTGGAGATCGGCTTCGGCTACGGCTTGGCAGACATTTTTTTCTTTCTACAATTTTAAATTAAATTTATTAGAATAAATGCTTCGAACACACGCGATCTAAGTACCTTTTGTGTTTATTATACCTTACCTACCTAGGTATAAAAAGAGTACTTACGTAGATTTTCTTTTATTAACTGTTTTATACGAAGATCTTGATCTCTCAAATTAGCATCCATTTTACTTCCAGTGATTATCAACTAAATTAATAATCCACAAAGTATTAAATAACGTTTTTATGAAATATTTAGCACAAAAACAATACCCTTTAAATATCGATCGTCAGTAACTGTGGCTGACTTACCTATATTCTAGCAAGCAGGACTGCCAGATGTGAAGGGGAAATCCCCAATAAATTGTTGCATGTGACTGATGATGTGAGCATGTTCGTTTCATAATAAAAATGTTGCCAGGTAACCAAAAAGTCGTATGTTTTTGTGCGAATTACGATCATAATCTTTACGATCGTACATTAAAAAATAGACAAATAATAGTATGAGTACGATTTAAATCGTATATCTGTCAACCCTGCTAGCAAGACAGCGACAAAATCACGTTGCATAACAATGTAGCCCAAGCTTATATCTTATGAAATATACGGAAGAGATACGGACTTAGAAAAAACAGAAATGTTGTTCTTTGTGGAAGTCATTGATGAAATTCTATGTATTTTAGCCCGCAAACTTTCTTCAAACAAAAACAGCGCCATCTAGTATCGAGTTCTGTAATTATCTCTTTGTTTATGGATTTGAAGTAAGACCGCCACGCATGCAATACATTATGACTGGGGATTCCCCTATTCGTCGACGCTGAATATGAGGCGACGACAATCACTGTCAAACGTGTTCACTATTACTCTGACTCTGGTAACGTGACTTCCTGGTAACGTGTTAGGTAGGAAAAGCAGTAAAAAAGTGCATATTAAGGGAGCAGATTTGAAATAATATTTATACTTAACAAGAAATAATTAAAGGTAAGTGGATTTTTGAATGATACAATTATATCATGATCACTTAACAATTTTAACTTAAAATTAGATGTATTATTACAAGCTTTTATTTAGCTTGCGTTATGTAAATAAAAGTATGTAGGTATGTTCGTATGTTGATGCAATTATCCTCAATCCTCAACCGACTGGGATAAAATTTTCCATACACGTTTATTTTGGATGATAGTGCATAGTTAGCTGAGAGTCGTCATTGGATAATAATGGTGGATAGCCTAAGATGTGTACTAGATATTTATTTTTAACATAATATGCGTAAGTACCTAATCGAATTAAAGAAGTTGCTGAGAAAAATACAGAACAATACGATAATAAACTAGCGTCTGCGTTTAATCCTCCGAGGAGATGTAATTTTACAAAGGTTTTTTGTATTTATTTTATTATTTTTTTAATAAATTTATTGTAAATAACAAGAAATAATCATTGTAAAAAAATAGGCACTCTATTGTTGAATTTTCGTCAGACCAACTAATCATCGTTCATTTTTTTAGGTTCAATGGGGAGACCTAAAGATTTACGCATATGGGAGCACTACCGTACTTTACCAAACAAGTCTGTTTCTTGCAAGCTTTGTAATAAGGTCTACAAATTCAGTAATGCTGCCAAAATGCTTCAACATCTTATCACTTGTCCAAAATCTCCAGAAACATTAAAAGACTCTATGAAACTTATAAAAGATAGCTCGTCCAAAACCAAAATGTCTGGACTGTCAGAGATAGAGACAAATGATTCTTTTATAAGCCCCTCGTCGTCTGCTAACACTACAATAAATGCTGAGTTTCAAGACACCGATGATCATATAAAAACAGAATTAGCGAGAGCTATATTTGTAACAGGGACGCCATTATCGATGGTGCAACATCCTTTATGGATACAATTTTTCGAAAAATTGCAACCAAAATTTAAAATACCTTCACGTAAAGCTTTAGCGACAAAATACTTAGATAAAATATATAGAGAAATGCGTTTTGAGTTAAATGAGGAACTAAATGCTTGTAGTTACTTACACCTTCAGTGCGATGGCTGGTCTAATTTAAGAAATGAAGGAATAATAAACTTTCTTATATCAAAACCTCAACCTGCATACGTTAAAAGTTTGAATACAGAAAGTAATCCTCACACTAGTGAATACCTTAGCCAAGAAGTTGAAAAAGTAATGAAAGTGTATGGAGCAAATAAGTTTCTTGTACTTATTGGCGATAACGCTAGAAATATACAAAAGGCATTCGAATTAACAAAACTCAAATATCCACATGTTGTTCCTCTCGGTTGCTGTGCACATATCCTTAACTTGTTGTGCCAAGATATTGTAAAGATACAAGAAGTAACTGTGTTTATTATGCAAGCCATAAATATAATAAAAACTGTTAAAAGGAGTCAACGATTAAGTTCCTTGTTGATAAAATCAAGGCAGGGTGAAGATTCTACACAAACACTAAAATTGCCTTGTGCTACAAGATGGGGAAGTCATGTTACTTCGTTAAAAAGTTTGAAAGCAAATAAGATAGCTTTGCAAATATTAACAGTTAGAGAAGATGTGGTAATTTCAAGAGATATTAAAGATTTAATTCTAAGTGATGATTTCTGGACGAAGACAGGGGAATGTATAAGTATTTTGGAACCAGTCACTGAAAGCATATTTTACTTAGAGAGCGACCAGAATCGTTTGCATCGCACATACATTACATTTAGAGATGTACAAGCTAAGATACGTTTTGCATTAAATGAGATTTCGACATTGAGCGAAGAAAGCAAACAGCAGATTCTAACATCAGTATCTTCAAGATGCAATATGGCAATGAGGCCAATACATTTTGCAGCATATATTCTAGACCCCAGGACTCTAGGAGTCGAACTTACTCAAGAGGAAGAACTTAAGGGTATGGAGTTTATCTACAATTTAAGCCAACACTTAAGTTTGTCAAATGTAATGGCAGATTTGGCGTGTTATAAAGCTAAAGAAAACTTTTGGGCCAGAGGATTTGTATGGAGCTCATTAGATAGCATTGAGCCCCTAATATGGTGGAAAGGTATTTGTGGTTCCACTGAGTTAAGCAAAGTAGCGATTCGTATTCTATCAGCTCCCTGTACTTCGGCAGCCACTGAGCGTTCCTTTAGTATCCAAGGCTACATACATAATAACAAAAGAAATCGACTTACAACTGAAAGAACTGAAAAAATTTCATTCATTTGTTATAACTGGAATCTTAAACATAAAGCTGAATGCGAGGACATTCAGTTTAATGAAGAAAATACCTTAGAAGCTTTCATTGAGCAAGTAAATGAACATAACAGTTTAGACGAAATAGAGCCTATCGAACCTATACAATTCATCGCTTGTAATAACTCTGAATCTGACAGTGATTGACTGTAGTTTTACATTTTACTTTCATCTCTTTCTTAATAAACTCAAAATCAAATTAAAAGTTTTTTATTCTGTAGGCTGCATAATAATATTGTCTATGTCCAGTATAGTGGACGTCTTGCGGCTGAGATGACGATGATGAAGTACAAAATCATAAACACCCAAAAATTTGGGTGTTTATGGGGTTTAAACCCAATAAACCCAAAACACCCGGTTTTTACCCACCAGACTTTAAACCCACCCAGGTGGATTGCCCATCTCTAAATACAGCACAAGGAATCCAATTTAATTTTCTCTGCACGGCTACTTTGGAATATTTTCATACGAGCTAGTTTTGTTGCATTGCACGAGAAATGTACCGATTCAGGGCCGAGTTACACTGAAAAGATTACTGATAGATCGGATAATCTCGGCATTTATAATTTACGAAATTTACCTTTTATACATTTTGATATTAGCTCGCCAAATTGGTTTTTTTTTTATGGGTGAAAATGGTATGGTAACCCCGCCTATGCTAACGGGATACGCTGGCGGAGCACCAGTGAAGGGTGATAGATGAGAATGAAAACAGGCCAGTTAGCCCATCATGATGAATTCATCAGGAATTAACCATGATAGTTTCCAGGGAGAACCGCGAAGAGGTCGACCTGGTTGGGTATATTGCTAGCAATAGGATTCTCTAAGCCAAATCTTTTTGTAATATGGATAGAAAAAATAATACGCCGACCACAAATAATAATTGGGATGAGGGTAGGAAGATGATGATATTAGATCGCCACAAATTAAAGTTCCATTTAAATGAGCAGCAATGTCCAACCTTACCATAGATCATCACACTGAAGCTATCAAACATACTTCCAATATCAAACTTTCTGAATAAATGTAACATTGAAACTCTGTCCCACTCGTGTTTCTACCGTGAAGCATTTGCATGGCTGCGTTTCGGTTTGAAGGATGAGATATGGCAGTGAATTTACAGGGTACAGAGGAATAACACTCGAGTCCTCAGAAATAACAACGCATGGGGGGTATCATGGGCGAAACAGTATATTCTGTTATGTCCATGGTACTGTTCATGTCTATAGGTGACGGTTACCACTTTCCATCAGGTGGGCCGTCAGTTTGTTTGCCATTCTAAGTTGCATGAAAAAAATAGCATTGAAACTTTCAAGAAGAGAATAAAAAAATTCTTGAGATAGGCAGCAAACTTGCAATTTTTCTATTGTTTCAGGTATTCATAGGCGGTAATGGTTACTTCCTGCATTGCATTGCATGTTTCCTTTTGCTTCTAATATAAAAGGATAAAATCAAATCTAATAAATAAGGATAAATGTACACGTCAAAATTGCACCAAGATCCACTATCGTCGCACGTTTATTTCAATGTAACTTAGTCCATAGGCGCCTGGAGCATGCGATATGGACTGAATTGTCACAGTCATGTGGCAGTCTACTCGTACGTGAGAGGCAGCAGTCACTGCCAAAATGTTTGCGAGGTATTTGTGGAATTGAATATTTAATTGTATTCGACCTAGGTGGGTATTATGTTTGAGAACACTGGACATTTTGTTCGCAGAATAAATCCTTTTGTGTAAACCACATACTTGCATAACGTGCTTGCGTTATAGCATGCAAATTTAGAGGGTTCATTATGACCGGACTAAAGTTTACGCCGAAGATTCTCTTGAGTCCTGTTCTTGGAGAAACAATTACGAGTTGTGACACTACTCTTTCTGTCACCAGATTGTGATCAGACAGTTGCTTGGCTTGGTTTTGGTTTAAATAGTGAGATATGACAGTGAAATTATAGGGTACAAAAGCATAACGAAATAGTCCTTGGAGAGGTGATTGTCAGTAATGGGGTCCAATGATTCTAATGCTTGCTAGCAATGACATATATTGCTACACACGCCATCAAGTCGACCCTCTGTAGGCTGTTTTTCCTGGAAATCGACATGATTAAAACCACGTGATTTTGTCATCGTGGTTTAACCTAACTTCTCTCAGTTCCCTCATTGATACCCTACAACATACCTATATACAACATACCCTAGTAATATAAACTGGTTTATCAATCTTTTCCCCTATATTAAAAAGAAAATGTGTTCCTTCAAACATAATGGGAAAAAAAAATTTTTTTTTGGGCAAGCATAGTGTGGTCCACCGTAGAGAGTAAATAATTATCTTTTCGGGTGTGACACATGGTGTGCTATAACAAAAAAAAACACATTAATTCCCCAAAGTGGCAACAGCATATAAAATGTATCATGAGGGTCATTGCCGTGTGGTCCCGGCACAAAATAGACCACCCCTTCCTTTCCCGTGGATGTCGTAAGAGGCGACTAAGAGAGGGCGAGGGATGGGTAGCAGCGTCCCTCTTAAAACATCTCCAAAGCCTAACTGTGGTTGTCAATTTACTTATACGCCTATCAAGCGCAGCAACTATTGAAACTCCCCAAGGGGGGGCTTAGGTTCAGCAGCGGACGGTTAAAGGCTAAGATATTATGAGCGTCATGCATTCTATAATATATATATATATATATGCGATGATTGTCACTTTTCGTCAGTTGGGCCATCAATTTACGCAAAACAAGTAATTTTAACTGTCACCAAGTCTCCACAATCGAATACACGCTCGATTGCTTGCTTATAAATAAAATTCATGCAAGTTCTAAATATCTTTGAAACGAATGCAACCGAGACATGGAAATAGTTTAATGACATACATGTGCAAGGTGTGGAAATAAGCTTCCAATGCATTTCAACGTGTATTTTGATGTTATCAAATTGAATAATGTTCTTTCGTTTATTTTGCATCAACATTACATTGGGTTGTTGACTTCTTTAGAAGATATATAGTTTATAGGAACGCAACTTTTCATTATATACACAAATAGATATATAAATACAAAGATATCAGAAGGCCTACCATGAAATATTTTCCGAAATTTCTGGGTCGAACCAAACACAAATTTGATGTTAAAATTACAGAATACATATCGTTTAAAAATGTAAAAAAATGTTGAAATAATGTTCCTTTGAACTTTTATGGTAGGAATTATGACCAACAAAGTACTAAGCTTCATTTACTGGTTCGATTACGGTATGAACGAAAACACGAAATTGGGTCCGAAAATTCGGAATTTCATTTCATAGTAGACTACCAGATCGTTTTATTCACATTCAATGGTCTGACAAATAATCCGTAATTGGCGAATAGGATTAAATGCACAGTTCTTGGAAGGGTACATAGAAATTTATAATATCAGTTATTCCATCATAGCTATTCATTAGACTGTTTGTCATTATAAGTTGTTTAGAACAAAAACCCTTAACACATACAGAGAGAGCCAATACAAAATGCATAGGAACATTTTTTTTATACATCTTAGAATGGCAAACAAGCTGACGGCTCACCTGGTGGAAATTGGTAACCGTCGCCTATAGACATGAGCAGTACCATGGACATAACAGAGTATATTGTTTCGCCCATGATACTCCCTAAGTGTTGCCATTCCTGAGGACTCAGATGTTATTCCTCTATACCCTGTAAATTCACGCCATATCCCATCCTTCAAACCAAAACACAGCCATGCAAACACAACTGCTTTACGGTTGAAACACGAATAGGACAGAGGTACCCAAGCAAACGACTTTTGTACAAAGTCTCCCTTTGGTAAATTTTATTGCTTATTGCAATCTAGCAGCTTGCTGGCATTCTATTTTCGGATTTAAAAAATGAGACGTTAGAGATAAAGGAAAAATACTACCTACTTCTATAGACGGTAAAAGTTTTAAGAAGATACTGCTACTCAAGACTTTCATGTCATCATTTCAGCCGTTAACTGTCCACTGCTGAACATAAGCCTCCTCCATAAAGGTAGTTTTGGCAGTAGTTGCCACACTTGGCAACGAGTTTGCAACCGCAATTTGTCTTTGGTGATGTTTTAAGTAGAACGCTGCTGCCTGTCCCTCGGCCATTAAGTTTCCATAATCGCCTTTTACAACACCTACGGAAAAAAAAGGGATGGCCCATTCCATACAGGAACACACATTCATGTCATAAGTGTTGATAATGCATGTTTGTGCAAAATTTATTTGATTTAGATACTCGTTTCTCTCAGCTTATACCGTAAAGGACTTGGCGTGAAGATAGACAGTTAGACGGTTATTTTTTATAAAAATCATATTTCCTATCTTAAGGAGGAGAGATGGCAAACTATCCTTGACAGTTGTATAGTCGGCCGGATTTCAGGACTCCAGGGTGAGAAACTAGGGTACCTTGGGAGCAGAGTCTAACAGAACCGTCTTCTGAATCTTTTCCGGGATAATTTACTTTTTTATGTTAATTATTATTTAGGCTACTGGAAGTTATAGCTCGCTCACCTGACGGTGCCATTTGTCTGAGTATGCGTAAAATGGAATTCGGTTGATGCGAACCCCTGTGCTATGTAGTGCAAGTGATAGGAATTGCTAATTAAAAAAAAATATTTTGTTTCCTTTTGGCTTCCCTTCACGACCCTAGTCTTCTAAGTTCCTTTGACCAATATACATATATTTCCAATTTCCATTCCTGGTTTCCTTTGTCACCCACAGTGAGTATTGTTAATTGTGAATTCTTCATTCCATGCAGAATGTCATCAGTGATTTTAATTAAAGCAATATACGTACTATGATCGATGCAGAAACCCTATTGCAAATAGTTCATGAGGTAATTTTTTTAAAGAAATTTTGAGTTGTTCATGAAGAAGTTGGTCTAATGCTTTTGAAAGGAAAGAAAGAATAGAGATTGGTTAAAAAAGCTAATTTAGTTAATAGATGACGCCACATAAGCAGTTTAGAAGTTATGAGGGAACAGATGAGCATACATACATAACGATCAAAAATTGTGATCCTTTTTTTTGCTTCACCATAGTCGGTTAATAAATCCAGACTGTAGTCCACTAACTAAGAGAAGACTAAAAATTTTATTGAAACAAATTGGAACGTCGCTTAGCGCTTGTCAATTTCGTCGGACAATGCCGACAAATAAGCGTAAAACGTAAATTACGATTAGAATGTTAATATCTTGTGAATATTCATGAAATATCGCGGCCGTATCGTAAACATCTGCATGTCAGTACACTCGTAAAATTTGTTTGTATTGATCATAATTTTAGAGTTAATTACGAAATAATTGACCAATATAACAGATGTATTTACGTATACAAACATTTGTGTGCGGGTATCGAATCTGCGATTTTTGGAAAGCGAGGCAGTG